CCCCTGACAGAAAAAAGGTCCCCCGACCAGTGTAAATCACTGGCTACCACTCTATAGCTGACTGGGAAGTGGATCCTCCAGCCCATACCGACACGGAGCCAACTATGTGGTACGATGGTACCTGATCAACATATGGGCCCCTTTCACAAGTGTTTATTTGTATTATTTTGAGTGGGCCACTGCCCCCTCCCCAATGTTCAATCTGCCCTCCTCCCCCTCCCCCAATTGCGAGTTTGGCCCCAAACTTCTGAAGCTGAAGTTCATTTAGAACATTACGAATGGAAGCTCAAAACTACCTAACATTCAAAGAAGGGTTCTTCTAATTGTTTCACAGGTAAAAGAGTTTTAAAAAATGACAACTGCGATTTCATGTTCAGTTTAGTGCACCTGACTGCGTTAGTCACACTTAAGCACGCGCTCGGTTTTAGGTCAAATTTACTCCCCGAAGTTTTTCGGAATGGTTTCCGAACGGCGCGGCGTGGCCGGTCCAAATTTTTGCAGAACTGTAGACAATTGAATAGCGGATCGTGTGGTATCAATTAATCGGATGTATATTGTACCTTGGATGCACCTCAACCACGGTCACTGACCTTGAATGAGCATGTGATCTTTTGCTTAGAACGGGTATCTAAGTTCTGGGGACACTTTGGAAACCATATTGGAGTTTGACCTTGTTTGACTCTATTTGACCCGAAGGTCGTAAACTAAGAGACTCAAATGTTGGCCAAAGTGAGTCCATGTACAGGCCAATACACCCTATGACTTTGGTGTCTCTAGCCCTATTAGTTCCTGAGATCTCAGCGGGGTCAAATTGACCCTCCACCCGAGCGGATGGTGTCCAACTGGCCACGCGGGCCCGTGCTAAAGCTCCGCAATCATTTCGTGTTTGCTTGAGTTCTTTTTTCTTCTGTGTTTCGTTCTGTACGCTGCATGTTTTAACTACACGATTTATATCGCTGGTTGACTGTAGTGTAGTTCTGTACTATTGTTGGAGTGTTTTGATATTATTCAGCGATATTTAAGTATACAGACCGCAGCGAGTCGCGTTGTTTTGCTACGACGTGTCATCGGAAAATGAAAACAAAGGTTAATGAAGGTATTAGCCGCCTACATTTGCGTCAACCCTTGAAATGTGTCTACCTTCGCTTCAACATGAATACTCGATGAAGCAGTTGCAAAAACCTGCCGATCGACACCAGCGGACTAAACCGATAGAGGTAACCGTCCGACCATGACCACCAGCACAAGCCGTGCCGAGCATGCCTAATGGGAGTGATGCGGCCCACTCCGCCTTGCGGCAATCAGCGGGGATTTCCATGGCAGACACGATTAGTCGCGCAGATCAACTCACATTCTTTGCTCCCGAAGCCGTATACGTCCAACAATGACTGAAGCCACTCAACATCGACTCTACGTCGATTACCGAAACCGGGTTTCGACGATCGACGCCAAACAAAATTGAAATGATGCCCAATGACAACATCTTTCGCCGAGACAGAGCAAGCAAACGTATAAGACCAGGGCTGTATTTTATTTTCTGTTTGGGGGACTAAATCTGCAACGCCACTGACAAAGCATTAGGTCAAATCTCGGAGGAAACCTATTTTTAGTGTCTGTGGTGCTAGTTTTCTCCTGCTCGGCCTCACCAAACCTATTTTTAGTGTATGTGGTGCTAGTTTTCTCTCGCTCGGCCTCACCAACCCTATTTTGTAAAACTCACGACTATGGTGAATTCTTAACGACCGTGACACGCAAAAGATTCGTCAACAGATTATACTTCAGGTTCAGGTCTGGGACACAGTGCCCATTTCCTAAGCAAAAAAGGGCCGAGATCCGCGATTTACATTGTTTGGGGTCCTCCCAGTCGGTTTCGTGTCGGTCTGAGCCCTGAGGGCCCATTTCCTAAGCATTGACAGGGTGGGAGCCCGTTATTTGCATTGTCGGGACCTTTGGTTGCAAGGGGTTTCGAGTCGGCCAGGGCAACATTTGTTGGACAGGGACAGGGACGGGACCTCGAAAGCCAGGGGCCTCTTGCGTTGGTCGAGGCCTTCTGACAATGAAAGTGGAGTTGAGCCTTAACGATGTGAGTCCACATGGCGATAATGGAAGCCCTTTGTCAGGCAGGGCACCGGTACCGAACGGAGGGCTCTCCATCCCATGTCAGCTAGGGGCCCGTTGTGCCGAACTGTAGTCTCTGCGCCAATTTTTGGACACCTGCGACGACAAGGGATCTTTTGTATCAATGAGGGCCCTGTGTCTATCTGGGTGCGTATGGCCGGATCAGGGGGCCTCTGGCGTCAGGGAGGCGACCAGTGTATGATGTATCCTCCTAAGGGTTTCCGTACCGATCAGGTGATCCCGCCCCTGCGTCACCGGCATGACAGTCACCCGTTCACCAGTCAGGCACCCCACGCTGGAACCGTATGGCCCGGAAGCCCCTGATCGATAAATATGACGTGCCGCTATTGGTCCACTGGAATCCTTGTCTGGAAAAGAAAAGGGGTTTTCATAGAGTTCAACAGGGCGAATCAAATGACGTTAAAAATGGAAAGGGCAAACGAGACGAACGAGACGTCCATCCTTGTGCGAGGTCATCATGTGAAACAGTTTGTATGAAACAGTCGTGGGCCTGCTTGCTCACAATCTTAGGAGCAAGAGCACCAGTGGCCGGGGTCCGCAGTTTCCGTGAAACCGAGCGGCATTGGCCAGTGCAACTAACACCAGATGGTGGTTTGGGCGCTTGGCGCCCGAAAACAGCGATCGTGAAATAGCATTGCCAAAAGTCTTTTTTAAATCCATTCGTATCGTTTGGAAACTGGACAGCAGCATATGGTCAGCTTGAATTTATTTGAGCTTATCCTCTGAAGGGGAAAACAGCAACAGCAGCACGACAATAGAGATTTTACCTTTACTTGTCAGTGTCTACCATCACATTCTTTCAACGGTTCGCGGTGATACGAATGCTAACCCGTTCATATAAAAAATCTATTAATTTGCAGGTGAAATATACTCCCGGAACACCTTCCAAGCGTTCCAATCGACATCCTAAAACGTTTAAAGGTACTTCCTTCAGAAGCGTTGCCGTCTTCGCCCGCTCGTTGGCCACGACATAGTGTTAGGCACGGGACCGACGCGCCGCGGCATCCGGAGACTGCCACGCCGGGCGTCGGGGTTTTTGTTGTAAGACCTCAGAGCGCGCATGGCCAAGACTGGATTATGTTATTCTCCCCCTACTTGATTCTGAACAAAGTTAAGCATTCTGAGACCAAAACAGCTTGATGTGAATGTAAATTTGGGACTTTATCTCGATCTAAGATCTACGCGCACGATGTCCCTGTACAAACCAGAAAAATTTCCGTACAGTCCCTGAGTGCTGTCGGCTTAGGACGAGTCCACTGACACATAATACAACGAACAGTATCGGTGTGTTTCCTTCAGTTGATCGACTTCGAAATGCAAACAGCATTGTATCCATTGGTGACTCCTGGCTTTTAAGAACGGCAGGGCTCCCCTCGGAATCAAGTAGGCCATATCCGATGACTTCTTTTTTTGGGTGGGGGCCCTATCCCAGGGAGAGGGCTTGGGTCAACCCCGTGTCCCACTCCACAGTTACCAAGACTCCGACTGCAGCCCTGCGTCGCCACGCTCCTTGAGCACCGAGTATGCGTATGCAAATATCATCCCATGGTAACGGAAAAGGCAGCTCAACTGACAACGCTGTTACAATCAACCTGCATTACGCTTAACATTGACATGACGGGCGTTTCATTTTTCACAGCTCGAAGTAAAACGGGTGAGGGTTGCTTTACTTTCAGAGGTACAACAACTTGAAATAGTGTCCCACAGACGTATAGCTGGCTTACATTTCGTGTTTTCAGTACGCAGGAGAGAGCTGTAACTGCATCCCTTCAGCTTCACAAAACAGCTACCTTTATAAGAAGCAGGTGCAATCTGCGAGGCTTCCATGCATGATTACTGTGACTACGCTCATGTGCTTTAAAAAGATGTGTAAACATAGTTTATATATATATATATATATATATATATCCCTCTCTCTCTGTAACTGATAACCAGAACATTAGGTACGAAATCGGAAATGTTTTTGGCCCTGTCCACTTACGACGACTTCCATAAACCTAGCCCCCGCGCAATCATTTTCAGGAATCGACACCCATGGCCCCTATCAACCCAGGGGTTCCCTGATCGGCGCAGAGGGCCCTCTGACCATAATTTGAGGGTCCGTCTTCGCGAGCCGGGCCCCTGAATAAGACTCCGACCAACCCTTAGACCCTCCAAGCGGGCCCTTGATTATTGAACCCGTGGGCCCCCTGGGCTCTTCGGGCCTTCTCGAATATTGCCTCTGGCCGACTCGGGGAGCCTGGACAACGCAGGGCCCCTGTTAGCCGCTGTGGCGTCCCGAACAATGTGAGTCGCTGGCTTCGGCTTTGTCCCTGCTTGGAAAATGGGCCCTCAGGCCCATGCCGCCACGGAGCCGACTGTGCGCCATTGATGGAGTCTGACCGAAATATAGGCCCCTTGCGACTCAGTGGGCTCCTGATCAGCGCGCAGGGCCCTCTGGCTAGCATTAGAGTGCCCGGCCCCGCAGGCCGGAGCCCATGAATGAGACCTCCGGCTACTTTTTCGGGCTCTTCGGAACCTTAATCGCAGGTTCCAACGGGCCCGAGGGACCTCTCGAAACCTAACGGGCGGGGTGGGGGCACTGCCCCCTGCGCCCCTCTGCCTGCACTAGTGAGGCCAAGTGAGACATGCCCAGTGCTCCTTGCCCTGCTTGTCTCGCCCCCCCCCCCCCACTCCCCCTCCTCTGCCCCCGTTACTTATATCCTAACTGACGGCTCCACTGGTAGGGGACCGCTGGGTGGGCGAAGTCCGGCTGAAGGGGATGCCATGATAAAACTAGAGACTTTTTCATTCAGAACTAGGGAAATCTGGCAGTGTCTCACAGTTGCCAAATCAGCCCGAGCTTCCCTCGCGCCTGGCAATCCGTCCTGCATTGTCTCGTGCTTGGTGCTGGTGTTGGGGTCTGCGGCTTCTGGGAAGTGATACGCAATCGAGGCGGCTGCATGTGATACACAGCGGCATCGTAGGACCGCGGCTCAGTTGTTGAGTGTGATCGCCCGGTGTTGGACGCATTTTTTCGATCATGAACCCTAATCGCCGCTTTGTAGCTGTGCTGGTGTTGGTCAGCTGCGCCGCTTTCGCCCTGGGACAGGTGAGTGGTTTCGTTCGGTTACAGGTGCTGCTTTCCTTGTCATTAATGAAGCTTACCAAGCATGCATTGTTTTATTACTGGGCACTGCATCTGGATATGAGCAAAATGGAGCTATATTTGTTTGGGTGACTGACTAGGATCCTGCTATATTTGTCAATGATTGAGATGGGAGTGATTGGAAGGTTGTCTTGATTTCTGGCAGGCATCACATTTCAAATATGATTGGTGAGGGTTGCAGGTATAATATGAATGTAGGACAAGTTGAAATGATTATTTTCATGCATTAGCATACTGTGCTAGTCTAATATTTGTATGTGAAATGATGCTCCCAGCACATATACAGGGTAGGGTCCATGTTGGCTATTGCTGTGGTTTGTGGCAAGCTTGTGTATGCTTCTGAGGCAAGTTGGAAAAATGAAAAAAATGATGAAATTCAAATTGTCACGGTGAAGGAAAGGATGTCTGTATGTAGTGGAAAGGCAAAAGCTGGCAAAGAAAGATGTCAAATTGTATTATTTCCAATAAGGTATCATAGAACCGTTACTAACAACTCATTATTTGCCTGTGTTTCAAGTTGTGCTCCCCACTGAAACAGCAAACTTATTGTTTAGAACTGTATAGGTCACACAATAATATGCATGAAATTGTTTCAGGTAGATTTACAACCTTTACTTTGATGTTTATATTGATGTAATTAGTAGATAGTTACATTTATGTGAAAATATTCCAGCATGTAACCTTTCAATGGCTATGGCATGTGAGTCATGACTTCATTTTGACATGTAAATTGGACAAACCTGATCTTGCTTAGATTTGGCTAGATGTGATTTGGCTGTTAGGAAGGGAGAATATGAATTTCCTGTTGGGAAGAGAGAATGTGAATTGCCAAAGCTGTCTCTTATAGTGAGAAGATGGTGGGATAGAGCTAGTACATGCTGCATGCATAGCTTCTTTTAAGAAGCAGCTCTTGAATAACATATAATTTTCACACATGATCAGATTTGGGCCCAGCATTAGTTTTTCCATTCAATTAGCTCAAGCCTTTTGTGATACAAATTGAAAAGGAAATATGCCATTACTTTCAGCATTCATTGGTGGAGACAAATGCCATCAGACCAAAAACCATTGTGTTCTGAATTTCAGGCACTGAATGAAGTGCATTTGTATTGTTTTTAAAACATGTGTGGTGGTCCCACATTTACCCTGGCAAAATGACATATGTCCCAGTTTTGATATTATTTTACATTGTGGTTGCTGGGAGACAATTTTGCACAGAACATGTTGATGGCATTGCAGCCTACAATATTATCAACTATCTGCCATGGCTCATAAAGAATGCATAATGGACTTAACATACAAGAGGTAGAAATGCATTTCATGAAGCATTTTGCACAGTGAATTGTGCAATGTACCATGGAATTCCACATTTGAAATAGCTTATCTGGGATTGTGAAATAACTGTTGGCATGCTATGCAATGGTTTTGCATGGCTTCTGGGCCCTGGATTGACCCTCTGGCAAGCAGCAACAGCCATGTTCCACATGTTTATGGTACAGGTAAAGTGGTGTGCTCACTGTGGCTCTGACCTATTGTTATGGATCACTGGAACCAATGAATATGTGCCAAGTGCATGTGGGTGACATCTTTTCCACAACTTCTGTCCCATCAACTGTCGTGCTGCACCAGCTACTGCAGCTGCTGGAGGCGTCGGCTGACCGTGTGCCCGCCCGCAGGCACCTCCCGACGACGACGACTTTATGTTCGAGCCGGAAGGCTCGGGCTATGGGCTGGCCGGCCACTTCGGCCTCCACAACGTCACGGCGGCGCCCGCCACCAGCCGCGCCGCCGCGCCCGACCACCACGAGGCGTCCGGCAGCGGACTGTACGCCGACGACGAGGACGAGGACGCCTACGGCGCCTACGAGGACTACGACTACCACCTCGACGACGATTACTATGACGGCGAGGAGAGCAGCCGCGACCTCTTCGACACAGTCCTAGGCTCGGATGGTGAGTGCTCGGCCGGCGTCTGGCCCGCGCTGTGTGCTGGCCTGCTTGTGCTCTGTTTGTAAAGGGAACGCGGCTCACGTTGCCGCGCAATCTGTGTTCTGGGCGCTAGCGATTACATTGGCCATATAAGCGCCCAGGAGCCATTGCGGAACCAGGATTAGAGCCTGGGGCCCCACGCAGGACCCGAAGGTGCCAATCACTCGGTGATTGCTCCTCATCCTGTTGTGTTCCGCGTACTGCGGAAGAGGCTGGGAGTCGATCGGATGCTGGGTGTGCATGAGTGTGGCCCAATTCGAGAATGGTTTGACTGTATGCAGGCTGGGAGGCTTGCGGTCTCATCGTAGGATGAAGCGATAGGACCTGGGGGTGGCTCGGAGTTTTGCACCAGTTTCGCCGTTATGCGATCTTGCTGTGCAACTTCCCTGCTACATCCCATTTATGACGTATGTTGTGGAACCGACGAACTGGAAATGCCCAACTGCCCATCCCTACAGTTTACTCCTGGTACCAGAAGGATGCGGTTGCACCGCTCGCCATCTGACGCGTCAGACGTTCTATTGAAACCGTAGCGGTGCCTCTCCTTCATCGTTGTTGCTGATTGCCGTGAAGTCGACGGCGAGAACAACGCCTTCCGATTGCAGCCACGCTCGGGTTTTTCGCGCCGTTGCCTCCTCCCGCACGGTACGCGTGACGCGACTCCCCGTTCCCCTCCCCCACGTCCCGGAACATCCGTTCGTGGAAGTCCCGCTGCTGCGCGAGGGGGGGGGGGGGGCTGGGGCGACCGTGACGTCACGGGTCGGACGACCGCGCCTGGGCTTACCGGCGGTGGGGGCGCGTCCCGCGGGTTCCGGCGGCGCCACCCACGTCCAGCGGCGAATCGATGGGTCGGTGCGGTGTAGCCCATGACGCTGCCTCGCTGTCGTGACCCAGTAGGGGCCGGAGGCCCACATCACCGGAAGGACATGTCTAGGTGGGAACGTCCAAGCGGCGTCGATGGACCGGCTGTGCGTGAACCGTGCTAGTTTTTGTTTGTAGTGGCAGCAGGCGCCACTCCGAGAAGTCGACGTAGCGCACATTTTAGAGTCAGCTTAAAATGATCATATAACGTTGATACGGACACCTGCCGGTTGTGTTCGACCGAGGATGCCGACATTTACAGGCTGGCTCATCTAGGAAGAGCTTGACACAAACCAATGAGTCATTAGCTTGTGTTGCAGCTGTCTGGATGGCTGCAGTCACTCCGACATGTTTTGTGCTGCATTCGTCTGCAAGGCTATCCCTGAACGCATTCCAGTGGAAGTCAGTCTCGTATTTTGCCGCGGCGCCTGGTTCCGCCGAAGGAAAAGGATATGACGTGCGGGAACAGACTCAGTGGCATCCGTTGGCGGGGTTGCCGGACGTGAGTGAAGCGTTGGAGGCGAGTGACTGGTCAGCAGGCAGGCTGAGCGGTGTTGGAGTGAATAGGGGTAGTGGGGGAGCGCTGGAGACAGAGGGGCGCGAGAGCCTACAGTGCCCGCGGGGTGACCTGAGCCGGCGCACGGTGTCAGGCAGCAGCGGCGGCGGCGGCCCGCCCGCCAACGGCGTTATGTGTCACACCGGCGGCGGCGGCGGCGGCGCCGGACGCTCGTCACGGTTCCCATGACCGGCGGGCCGGTGACCGCCTCCGCTCCCCACGACGTCCGGGCGCCGGCCGCCGCTCGTCGGAGGCGGTCCGCTGACGGGCGCGCGCGCTGAGGTCACGCCCTGACCGGGTCACTCGGGGGGGGGCTCCCGCCGGCGGGCGGGCTGTGCCCAGCGAGCAGAGGACGGGGGCGCGCGGCCGGCGGGCTGCGACCTCGCCCGCCGCCCTGTGTCAGCATGACCGGACCGCTCAGAGTCCAGATCAGCGACCGCGGCTCGGTAATGCGCCCGAATACTCAGAGTGCCCCGCACGTGCGGACGGCTCCGGCCGCGACGGCGTGCGGCTCTTTGAACCGACCGCCGCCGATCGGGTTAGCATCGGATGCGTATGGTTTTGTTTGCCACGGGCCCTGCGTGCCAGCAGTGAGGCAACCGTGCCATCGTGACCCAATGCAGCCGCCTGGGGCCGCCCACAGCTCGCGGGAAGCACGGCGTCGTGGTGGGGCCCCTGTGCCGCCGTACCTTCTCTGTCCGTCTGACAGGGAAGGCACGCGACGGCGGATCTGAGACTTTCCCGGAGCTGCAAGGTTGTCTTTATGTTATAGGCGTGCAGCCGTTTGTTGGCCGTTTCGGTCGATTATTAACGACAATCGGGGCGTTTTCGCCGCGCGTACTGGGTGCTCCGGCGCCGCTCGGCCGTCGCCGCTGGCGCTGGTCCGTTTCGAAGGCGGAGGTCCGTCGGTGTCGATGCGGGGGTGGTCTTGGAGCCGGACGGCCAGCGAGTCACGCCACGGAGCCAGCTGGTCACGCCACGGATGACTAGCGGATCACGCCACGGATCGGCAACGGGTCACGCTATGGATTTTCTACGCCAGCTCACCGCTTAGACGGCATTGGGGTGCCGCGGCGCCGGCTGCGGACGAAGCCGTCCGACCCGCCCGGCATCCGACTGCCGGCTGACAGTGGGCTGACGAGGGACGTCCATGACGTGACCCGCTGACCGTTCACGGCGTGACCCGCTGATCGTCTATGGTGCAATCACTGGCCGTCTGGTGTGGCCCGGCGGCGGCCGCCCATGGCATGATCCGCTGACCATCTGTGGCGTGACTCACAGACCGCTGCCTGTTGATGGTGCGTCGGGCGCTGGTGGCCTCGCTGGTCGAACGGACAGCCTCTGCTGGTGCTAGTCGAGTTCGATGTGCTTCCGGCCGTGAGGAGCTCGGTTCTTTGTCTGGTCGGCACGGAGGTGGGCGCGAGCTGGGCACAGACGGAGCTCGGTCGGTGTCGGCCGCTCCTCTCATCCTGCTCTGAGGGCGTGGTGCGGCCAGAGCTTGTGGCGGCGAGCTGTGGCCGCGGCGCCGCTGACAGTCACGGTCTGTTACTTCAGCGAACCCTGATCACGGCGCTGGTGCCACACCGCGCCGCTAGCCGAGCCCTCCGATATGTCACGTGGAGGAGGGAGGATTAGGCGCTGTGACGACGGTGCTCAGAGCAGGCGACTGTTCTCACTGTTGTGATAGTCGTCGCCGAACCCTGCCTAGAGCTGTTGATTCATCAAGTGGCATCGAGCAGGCTGTCTTACATCCTCGCACTCCGAAGTCCATCGTGCGTCAGTAACGCTCTGGGTTCGTCGGGTGCATTTGGCAGCTACTGTCCGCTCTGACGCGAGCGCGCAAGTTCTCGGCGTGGAGTGGTTCGACACACAGTGCGCGGCTTCGGGACCGGTGGGGCTAAGGTGAGGGGGAGGGGAGGGCTCTGGGTGACGCAGTGCGCGATGTAGCTCCAATCGACCGCCGCTCATGGGGGCCGCCCGCTCCGTTATCGGACCGATAAGAGAGCCGCCCGTCTGGCGGCCCGGCGGCCTGCCCGCGACCGGCACCGCCCCCCCCCCCGCGCCGGGCCGCAGGACAGCCACGCGTCGCACGCGGAGTTGAACGGGCACGTGCGCGCTTTTCCATTGAAGCGGTCCGTGACCGGCTGTCGGTGTCGCCGGCCGCAGGTACCGGGCTAGTCAATGGCGCGTGGTGTGACGTCGGCGTCCCACCGGCGACTGCCGGTGGCTGCCTTCGTCCCAGCCAGGAATGATTCCCGCCGTGCAGAGTCCGCTTTGTTCAGCAATGGCCCTGTACAGTCAGACCGGGCTACCATCCGGGCATCCCGTGTGTGACGTCGAATCGCGCCGCAGCTCAACCGGGACCGTCCAACGCCGATTTCACACCCCGCCAGCTGCGGTCAGTCGGCTCGACCGGGACCGTCGAGCGCCGAGCTCACCCGGCCAGCTGCGGTCGGTCGGCTCGACCGGGACCGTCGAGCGCCGAGCTCACACCCGGCCAGCTGCGGTCGGTCGGCTCGAGCGGGACCGTCGAGCGCCGAGCTCACACCCGGCCAGCTGCGGTCGGTCGGCTCGAGCGGGACCGTCGAGCGCCGAGCTCACACCCGGCCAGCTGCGGTCGGTGGGCTCGAGCGGGACCGCCGAGCGCCAAGCTCACACCTGGCCAGCCGCGGTCGGTCGGCTCGACCGGGACCGTCGAGCGCCGAGCTCACACCCGGCCAGCTGCGGTCGGTCGGCTCGAGCGGGACCGTCGAGCGCCGAGCTCACACCCGGCCAGCTGCGGTCGGTCGGCTCGAGCGGGACCGTCGAGCGCCGAGCTCACACCCGGCCAGCTGCGGTCGGTCGGCTCGGCCGGGACCGTCGAGCGCCGAGCTCACACCTGGCCAGCTGCGGTCGGTGGGCTCGAGCGGGACCGTCGAGCGCCGAGCTCACACCCGGCCAGCTGCGGTCGGTCGGCTCCTCTCCGGCCGTGACGGGACGGCGTCATCCACGGCACGGGGTGCAAGGCTGCCGTGCGGCGGCGAGGGATGCGCCCTCTGCCGGCGCCGTGACGTGTCTGCAGACGCAGCCAGCCGGCTCCCTCGTTAGCCGTGCACTGGCTGCACAAGGCTGCCAATTGTGAAATGATCGGCCGGCCTGCAAGACCGCGAACGCTGTATGGGTCGGACGCTGGGAACATTCGCCAGTTGTGCGTGTGCGTGTGTTGGAGCTTTCTGAGAAAATGAGCGTGGGTTTACGTCAAATGAATGGATGGCTTCAGATTATGGCCGTGGAAAAGCGTCACTCGTAGTCGCTCTCAAACGACTACCCGCCCCCCCCCCCGCGCCCCGGTCTGCGATTCAACTCACGCGCTCAGCACAGGCCACCGCCGTTTCTGATAAGACTGAAAGCCTCATGTGCATTCCGGCACGTGGTACGGCTGGATACCGGCTACGGCGTGATACGCCGACACCGACCAGATGCCCCCGGCTCGTGCCACTGACGTGGCCTCGTGACGCAATTTGGCCGTCCGTCGTACGCGGGGGCGTCGTGCTGCGCCCCTTGCCCG